AATTTTAAGAAACCCCAATAAGTACAAGTTAAAGTTTAAGTTACAGTGACGGCTTCATAGGAGGGTCGTCACAATCTATTTGGCAATCTGTATAGTGCCACGTGGAGCGCATTTAAGAAGGTACTCAATTGTGTTTTGACACATGGATTTTACTGTAAATCTCACCGTACACAATCATTTTCACACCAAAGAAACTAAACAACACGGTAATTGTGGGGCAGCAAAAATGACTAAAATGCCCAAAAAAAAAAACTGAATAAATAAGAAATCGAAGGCAAAACAGTAAAAGCAACAATAAAAGAACACAGATGGAATTTTCTCAAAACTTAGGGAGTGAATAATAGTAATTTGGGTGCCTCCGGTGCTTTAGTATAATGGTTTAAAACAATGGTGTTGTTGAAATTTTCTCTATTTTTATCACTGTCATGTCGTAGAGAACGACAAGTTTGGACATAAAGGAGACCGAAAACGACGTGTCATCTTTTATAATTTGTTTTTTGTTGGCCACTCTCATGGAATTGTCGGTGTGATATTTGCATCCTTCTTTAATCTTTTGAAAAGAAAAACATAGCCGATTGACATATCTTTGGCCTCGTTCATTCGTTGATTCGAGTTTAAAATTTAAGTTTTATTATAGTAAAATACTCTTATAAATAATCACATTTAACTTTTTTACTACAATAAAAATCTCTCACATAAAATTATATCTCAACTCAAATTAAAAGCTTAAATCAACGAACTAAACGGACTCCATCACTCTAACCAAGTAATTAGTAATAGTGGTTGACATGTCAACTATTTAATAAAAAGGGATAAAATTATTTTGGTATTCTATATTATAACAAAACATTAAATTAGTACTTTGGTCTTATTCGTTTGCATCTAAATTCAAAAAAAAATTTGAATTTAAGTTACAATTTTATTTAAGTTCATGTTATTTGGTAAAATTTAAGTTTGAACTTGAATTTTAACTTGAGTTTGGTGTTAAAATCTGAGTTTAAGTTTTCCATTCAACTCAAGTTTCTAAATTCAAACTCAAGTTAATAAACATTATTTTTTCTATTCTTAAAAATATTACAATTTTTTCGTTTTAATTCTGATTGAGATAATATTTTTTGTGTGGTCGCAACGAAAAGACAAATAAAACCCCACACATATACCTTATTAAAATTTTTTCATCATTATTGAGTTTTTATTAAAATATTATCTAAATACAAAATTAAGTTTTGACCCACTCAAACACAAACTCAAAAAGATTTTCATATCAAATCATAACTCAAATGTACACAACCAAACACAAACTAAAATTACAACTTTAACTCAAATTCAACTCAAAATTTACACTCAAATTATCATAAGTCAAAAATACAACTGAACAAACTATTTGCTTTTCGTAATATTAAAGTGATACTTCCATATTTTAGAAAACAGAATAAAATCCCACACATATACCTTATTAAAATTTTCCATCATTATTGAGTTTTTATTAAAATATTATCTAAATACAAAATTAAGTTTTGACCCACTCAAACACAAACTCAAAAAGATTTTCATATCAAATCATAACTCAAATGTACACAACCAAACACAAATTAAAATTACAACTTTAACTCAAATTTAACTCAAAATTTATACTCAAATTACCGTAAGTCAAAAATACAACTGAACAAGCTATTTGCTTTTCGTAATATTAAAGTGATACTTCCATATTTTAGAAAACATTTTGAAGTAAGATGACGAATTCGCCCTTATTACTATTTTCTCATTTTCTTGACCAAAGAACCAGATCTGCCTTCTTTTATGGAAGCCCTTGCAAACTCTGTTTTCATCTCCAACTTCCGGGAGCATTACTCAATTCTTAATAACTAAACCTCTTGCTTCAGAACATCAATTAAGCGAATTGGGTCACTTAACAATTAAAATCGGTGAAAACTATGCTTTTCTTAGACTAGTTCAAGGTGAAAGGACGCAGTTCAAAAGAATCTTGTGACAGGTTTGGGTTCATAAGAAACTTTATCAATACGTTTAGTTAATAGATTCAAAATTATAATTTAAAATTATTCTCAATTTACGTATATTTTTTATAAAAAAAAATACTATAACAAATTACAAATCGTAATTTAAATCATAACACAAATTCTTAAACTCTAGGTGAACTCTCTGTGATTTAGGTGCTTTAGCACGTACTATCTCAATTTAAATTACTAGGGCCCACATGCAATTCATCTTTTATAATTCGTTTTTTGTGGGCCACTCTTATGGAATTGTCAGTGGGATATTTGCATCCTTCTTTATCTTTTGAAAAGAAAAACGTCACTTAACAATTAAAATCGGTGAAAACTATGCTTTTCTTAGACTAGTTCAAGGTGAAAGGACGCAGTTCAAAAGAATCTTGTGACAGGTTTGGGTTCATAAGAAACTTTATCAATACGTTTAGATGATAGATTCAGAATTATGATTTAAAATTATTCTCAATTTACGTATATTTTTTATAAAAAAAAATACTATAATAAATTACAAATCGTAATTTAAATCATGACACAAATTCTTAAACTCTATGTGAACTCTCTGTGATTTAGGTGCTTTAGCACGTACTATCTCAATTTAAATTACTAGGGCCCACATGCAATTCATCTTTTATAATTTGTTTTTTGTGGGCCACTCTTATGGAATTGTCAGTGGGATATTTGCATCCTTCTTTATCTTTTGAAAAGAAAAACACAGCGCAGACAAGGCCGATTTACCAACCACTGTGCGCTTTTTGACCGTTGCTTTTTCCACAACACTTGTTCTTTTGATGAAATACGGGTGGTGTTCTCTTTTTATAATTAGTTCCTCTATTGAGAATTATTCTATCTTAAACCCTAAATTCTTTAAGTATCTCAAATTTAGTCCTTAGGTTACATTTTGTTAAATTTTGGATGCAAAAAGTTAGGTAATTTTGTAATTTCACCTCAATTAATGAGCACTTTAGTAATTTTAGCATAAATGAACTAAATCATAAAAAATGGAACCAGAGTTAGTTTCTCTTATTCTTAATTTCACCTCAATCAACTGCTATCACTGTGCATGCTTGTAGTGTGGCTTCACCTGCTGCTGCTGCTTCTTGATCATCAACGCGGGTAAATGCCTTTTTGTTTCGATACATTAATTAATTAGCTATTGAGTGCTATTGTTGTGTGCTAATTAAAATACTTCATCACCTGACAAATTATGTTAAAGTTTGGTGCACTTGCATCAGTGATCTATTGCAATGGAATCTGGAAATCCAATTAAAGAAAAAGAATCAAGCTTGGAAACGATGAATGAAAAGGCAAACAAGCCTTCAGGTATATCTCACCCTGACTCCCTGTGAATGTGAAAGAGGAAAGTGCAAACGACGAAAACGTTGTATTCCTTAAATCCCCCCAATCTAGGTAGTCCTAAATTATTAAGGATGTACTTTTATCCAAATTATGTTGCTAAATTATTCCAAAAAATATGCATAATAAATATTCAATTGACACATGCTTATTGTTCAAGTGGTTGGGAGTGTGAATGTGTGCGTGTGTCTACCAGGATTTGAACTATAGTGGTTTCATTTTTTGAACAAAGTGCGAGTCATAAACCCCACATCGTATTTAAAAAAAAAAAAAAAAAAAAAACGGGCCGTACATACTCTATGCTCGATTTCTTTACATGTTCATATAGTTCATCTAATTGTAGAAATTATTTAGCTGAAAATGGAAAATGGCAGGGTGTGATCACAAGATTGCAAATGAAGTCGACTTTGAACGGCACAGGCAACTCTTCGATGCTGTCAGACAAGGTAATTGGCAGGAGTCCAAGACGTATCTTGACCAAAATCCTGATGCAGTGAGGTCGAGAATCGATTTTTCGAACAAGACTCCACTTCACGTCGCTGTGAGTGCTGGACATTTGCACATTGTGGAGGAGTTGGTGCAATTAATGACTGAAGAAGACATGCTGATGGAACGGAAGGATGGTCTCACAGTTCTTGCAGCTGCTATAGGAATCGGAAACATCTCCATCGCTAAGTGCTTGATTAGAAAGAACAAGATACTAGTTAGTGTTGCTCGTGAAAATTGGGTTCTTCCAGTTATCGATGCTGTCTGTTACGACTATCACGAAATGGCTCGTTATCTTTATACCGAAACACCCGAAGAAGATCTTACACTGCGAGATAATGGCAAGATAGGCTCTTCCCTCGTTACCAATTGTATAAACCAAAACCAATTTGGTAAGGACTCAACAAAAATACAAATATAGCTGGATCGTCTAATGGTTCTTTGAGAAAACGCAGTGTACAATTTGGTAACCTTAGACTATGCTCGCTCATATGACCGTACAGTAGTTTTGAAACGAAGTCTTTCTTTCCTTTGTTGTTGTTGTTGTTTTTTTTTTTTTTATTATGTTTTATTTTCTTTTTTCTATAATGAGTTTTTGTAAAATTTGTGGACTCTTTTATATATAGTCATATTGAAATACTATGACACTACAGATATCCCCATCCATTTGCTAGGGCGTAGACAAGGTCTGACAACTACTGCGGATCCTTATGACAGATACCCCGTGCGTTCATTAGCATCATCTATAACTAAACCTGTCTTTGCTTGTAGAAGCCAGTTAGGATTTTGGAAACGGTGGGTATATGACCGTGAGTATCCACTTGTTTTCTCTTGTAACATTTTATACGTATTACTTCTTTAACAATCTTCTTTAATTTCTTGTTAATAAACTTCCTTTCTCTAGCTTGCTATGTAATTCATTCCCAGTTCCTTTGTTTCTGTGGTGACAGGTATACACATTGCCAGTCGTGCGGCCAATCAAATTTACATTGATGTTCAGAATCGAGAAGATAGCCAAATAGATGAGAATGATTTAACTCCAATTAGGTCAGGTAATTAAGGTTAATACTTAAAAAAAAAGTTTCTGTGGTGACAGGTATACACATTGCCAGTCGTGCGGCCAATCAAATTTACATTGATGTTCAGAATCGAGAAGATAGCCAAATAGATGAGAATGATTTAACTCCAATTAGGTCAGGTAATTAAGGTTAATACTTAAAAAAAAAGTAAGGAATTAAATTTAACAGAAATAGTAGGAAATATGCCAATATAAAAAGTTTAAGAAAGTATATAGGCCAATTTTTAGTTATAAAAATTAATAGGTCATAACTTGTCAAGTTATGGTTCATAACCAGATAAGTTATAGACAAACTTGTAAAGTTATGGTTCATAACTAGATAAATTATGAACAATAACTTATCAAGTTATGGTTCATAACCAGACAAGTTATGGACGAAAATAATAATTTGGCCTATTTATTAACTTATGTAAACTATTGGCTTATTAATTTTAATTCATCATAAGTCGTGGCCTATTTCCCTCTTTCTCCCTAAATTTAAAATGTAAAGGTATAAATGTGATGCAATTTAAAAATAGAAGATGTTATTTTTTAATAACCAAAAGAATTAAATTCATAAGAGACCTCTGACTTTTTTTCTCTTTTTATAATTAGTCCATGTATTGAGAATTATTCTATTTTAAACCCTGAATTCTTTAAGTATCTCAAATTTTGTCCCTTAGTTATATTTCGTTAAATTTTGGATAAAAAAAGTTAGGTAACTTTGTAATTTCATCTCAATTAATGAGCATTCTAGTAATTTTAGCATAAATGAATTAAAACATAAAAAATTGAACCAGAGTAGTTTCTCTTATCCTTAATTTCAACTTTTGTTTTTCTTTTTGTTTTATATTCATATCATATTATTATCCATTGTCTTGTTTTTCGGTTAGATTTTTATTATTTTTAGAGCATCGATCATTTACTTATATGTCTATTAGTAATATACATGTCGAACATAAATAATAAATATTTCTAAATTATTTTTATCAAAGTGCATTTATGTTCCTGTTTGTTTCGTTCATTTTCTCATATGCATTAGAATAATTTTCTCACCAGAGGGAGAATTTTTTTTTTTTAATTTTCTTTTCTCTCCTCCTTTTTGGTATTGAAATTAGAAAATAATAAAAAAAGTGATATGTGACATGGTGCCACATGAGAGGTGGCTCACATATCAGTTTTTAAATTATTTTTATTATTCTTTTTTACTGTAATCTGGGTATATTTTCTCATTATAAATTCACGTATGAAAGTAGAAACAAATTTTGGTAAAGGAATCTTTAGTGAAATTAGGAGGTTAGTTTGTTGTTGTTGCCAGAGAAAGTTTTATGATTAGAACCCAGATCCCCTGTCCACATCTTTTATATCTCTGTCCCACTAATTAATGGTTGACAGGCAATTATCAATAAAAGTATGAGATAAAATTATTTTAATATCTTATATTATAGTAAAATATTGAGTTGATACATTATGTTTTTTATAATATTAAAATGATATTTTCATATTTTAGAATCGTTTTTTAGATATATATATATATCTCCATCTTCTCAGAATTTCAACCCACTGACCCAGAGCAAATAATCCTAATCTGATATTCCACAAACAGAAAAACCAGATCCGTCTTCTTTCATCGAAGCCCTTGCAAACTCTGCTTTCATCCCAACTTACCCAATTCTTAATAACCAAGGCTCCGTTCACTTCACCTTTGTTTTAGAATTCGAGTTTTGATACAGTAAAATTTTTTTAAAAATAATTACATTTAATTTTTTTATTACAGTAAAAAATTCTCACATAAAAATCACATCTCAATTTAAATTACAAACTCGAATCAACAAACTAAACGGGTCATAAACCTCTTGTTTCAGAACATCAATCAAGCGAATTAGGTCACTTAAAATCAGTCGGGAAAAAGTAAGTGGACGTTTAGTTCATGGATTCAAAATTATAATTTTAAATCATTATCGATTTACGTGTATTTTTTTAAGAGAAAACATAACAAGTCACGAATTATAATTCAAATTATAATACGAATCTTCATAAAAACTAATAGAATCTAAAAGGTTTTAATATTATATAAAAATACAAGATGTTAACTTAATGTTTTACAATAATTTATGCTACCAAAATAACTTTATCCTAAAAGCATTACTAACAGACATTTAACTGGTTCTCTCTGTTAACGGAAGGTTTGACATTTTTTTTTTTTTTTTCATTTTTTTGACACATTCTCTCTCTCTAAATTTATCTTCTTTCATCAGTTCATTTCTATATTTTCTCTTTCTTTTCTTTGAATCATCAGTTGAAGAAATTGTTGGCATCTCAATATTTCTCGCACCTTGTTTTCTTTATCCGCACACCCAATTGCCCACTTCCAATAATTTTTTTCCTCTGCGATTACCCTTTCTTTCTTTCTCTAACTTCTCTCCACCCCAATTTGCCTGTCACCTACACCCTTCCAAAGGATTTGTTCGAGAAAATCGCGTGGCAAAGAAAGTGAGTTTTTTTATTTTTTTAAGAAAAGCAAAGAAAGCTAGAATTGGGATCTTGGACCAGCTTTATCAACCCTTTTTCTTCACGAACTTATTAAGCAAAATATAAAAAGGAAAAAAAAAATCTCAGATCGTCTTCTAATCTCCGGCGCCGATAGCTGTTGGACACAAATTTTCATCATCCTCAACGATTGTTATAGCTCCTTCTTTAAACCCTCCATCATTCTAAATCAAAACACAAAGTAATCGTTCACTTCGCGAATTCAAGTTTTCAATTTGAGTTGAAATGTGATATTTTTTGAGAGTTTTTAACTGTAGTAAAAAAAAATAAATATGATATTTTTTAAGAGTTTTTAACTGTAAAAATCTAGAATTAAAAACTTAAATTTGTGAAATGACCGAATAGTAGATAGGTGATGTGTCAACCATTAGTTAGTTAGAAAGAGAGATTGACAGAAAATGTGGACAAGGGATCCGAGTTCTTATGATTAGGTATTTTCTCTTTATAAAAGTAGAGAAATGCTAGTGTCACTCTTTTTATGATTCTCTTTATTCACTATTTGACACGTGAATGCAACTGTGTCATTTTCTGTTTGAATAATAATATATCATATTAGTAGATTTCACGTGCCAAATAATAAATGAAGTGATGGACAAAAAAAGTGTTGCTAACATTTCTTATAAAAATACGTAGCTTGTTTGTAGAATAAGAATAGATCAATTATGAAGATTTTTGTTTGTAAAGACTTCACTGACAAACGATTATTAGAAAGAATATCAAGAAGTACACCTGATTTTTAAGATTGTGTAATGTTAAATTTTATGGTAAGATCTCATGGAAACACACATATTTACATCTGAAAATTGCGTTTATAATGATCCATAATTTATGCTAGACATGTATCTTACTAATTAGACAGATAAGTAAAGAATATTCTAAAAATAATAAAACTTCTAACACAAAAACAAGACAATATATAAAAAAAAAATGTGAATATAAAAAAAAGAAAAAAAAGATGAAGTTAAGAATATTAGAAATTAAATCTCGTTTAAATTTTTTGTTTTAGTTCATTTATATTAAATTATTAAAGTACTCATTCATTGAGGTGAAATCATAAGAGCACCCAACTTTTTCCATCAAAAACTTAACAGAATATAATTGAGAGACTAAATTTGTAACATTTAAAATAGAACAATTCTCAATAGATAGCAAACTATAGAAAGAGAAAAAAATTGAGAGACCTCTAATAAATTTAACTCTTACAAATATAGGATATAAAAATAGAAAAAAAAAATTCTTTTTAAAATAAAAAACTAATAGTTGAATTTTTTTTTCACTCATTTTATACTTTAAGGAAAATTTCATTTTTATACATTGTGTTACATTAAAATATGAATTTAATATTTTGTGTTTTTATAATTTCATGTAAGTACCTCAATATTTTAAAACATATGTTTTTAGTACCTTCTGACTATTTTTTAGAGGGAAAATGTCAAATATACTCTTATCATATTTTAAAACTCATATATTTTTAAAAATATACTTTAAATATATTACAAAATAAAATAAAAAATAAAAAATCTCTCTCTCTCTCTCTCTCTCTCTCTCTCTCATATATATTTTTAAAAATATACTTTAAATATATTACAAAATAAAATAAAAAATAAAAAATCTCTCTCTCTCTCTGTTCTCTCTCTCTCTTGCTTCTTCTTTCTTCGTCGCGCGCGGCCACCTACTCCGGTGACCCATCCGGCCTCGTGTCGGCACGAATCCGGAACCGTGCTGTGCCAAAGCCACCACTCATGGCCATGGAGGTTGATTTTTAAAAATATACTTTAAATATATTACAAAATAAAATAAAAAATAAAAAATCTCTCTCTCTCTCTGTTCTCTCTCTCTCTTGCTTCTTCTTTCTTCGTCGCGCGCGGCCACCTACTCCGGTGACCCATCCGGCCTCGTGTCGGCACGAATCCGGAACCGTGCTGTGCCAAAGCCACCACTCATGGCCATGGAGGTTGCTGAGCGTACTGCATCCTTGGTTGCTAGCTGGTATGGGCTTGGTTTTCGTCATGGTCTTTTGAACACTGATAACGTGAGCATTTTGTAACGGATCCAGAATTAAATTCAATGAGGGCACAGATTAAGACATTTTTCATTTAAAAAAAAAAATTCACAACATTCTATAACATTCTATGAATAACATTAAATTGCATGCTTTATAGACTGGTATTGATTATTACAAAAAAGCCCGGTGATGACTAATTTCGAATAATTATATTCTCTACAGTATTAGTGGGTCTATTGGCACGAATGCCTTCAAATCTTCTCCAACTTTTAGGTAACTCACTTGGATCATTCTCTTTTTCAAATATGTACAAGTGTTAAAATTAATCATGCCTATTTAGTTTATCTAAATTAAACATATTATAAGATAAAACCTCTCTTTTTTTTTTTTCACCTTGCATTTAAGTTTGTCATTTCAAAACTAGCTGGCTGGAATAAGTTTGTTTCCATTGTTTGTTACTAATACAGATGTCAAGCATATATACAAAACAAAGTTGGCCCATTTTCAATACCTTGAACTCTTGAGTATCATGTGCAAAGCAATAGAAAATGCTTCAGACGGGGAACAAATAAACAATGCTGGAGTCCATGATGCTATCAGGGAAGCTGTGTACAAGGGAAATGTCGAGTTTATTATTAAGATAACAAATGCGAATCCAGAACTTGTGTGGACTCCTCGTCTAGCCAGGAGCTTGTTTATGCTTGCTATTGAACTTCGTCAAGCGGAAGTTCTTAGCCTTATACATGGTGTCCCTGACATACAAGTAATAGCATGCTCTATTGATCCCGATACTAAAAATAACATGTTACACAGGGCAGCATCAATACCGTCTTCAAAAATACTTGATCTCATCCCAGGAGGCGCAGCTCTACAAATGCAGAGAGAACTACAGTGGTTCAAGGTATCATTTTTTCACTTTGTACGCTAACAATTTACTTCTAACCAAATGTTTTTTTATTTGGGACCATAACATATATAGTCAGATCATTATCTCCCAAAATTTTGTTTTCTGAATTGAGTAGGATTTATGTGTGATGAAAAAAGAACAGTGCCAGCGACTTCCTGAATTTTTTTGCTTCTTTTGTCAATAAGGACAGTTTCTTTTTTTAATGGATAATGTAAGAACGAAATAAAATTTCAAACTTGTTTTAAAAAAAATGAAAGGACAGTTTCATTTCAAAGTTTTACGCAACTCTTATGATAAGAACTGTTATTTTATCCTACAATTAGGAACCGTTATTTTAACTGTGGAGAACCGTTGTTTTAACCATTAGATTAATTTTTCAACAGTCTGATATGTAAGTGTTTACAATAAAATCTTACAAGCTCGACACAAAACTAATCCTACTCTAAAATCAGGGTGTTGAAAATCTAAGCTAACAGGACCCTATAGTAGTCCCTATATGTAGGGTAAAATAGGAGTTACTACTATTAAAGTTCTCAAAAGTATTAGAATTCTTCGCACCCCTTGAACTTTTTCACATTTTGCAATTTTTTAGTAAATAAGTGACACGACTTGGCAAATTTTCTTTAGCTAATTTATCTTAGTTTTTTATTGGAAAAATTTAATCGTCGTTGTTTACACATCTTTGTCAAGTAGTTAAGGTTAAAATGAAAAGTTCTAAATTCTAGAACTTAAAAATGTTAAACTCTTAAATTCTTTCCTTAAGATGGTATGCTTTTGTAATGAAGGAGGTTGGGTCAATCGTAACACCTGCGCAACACATACTTACAAACAAGAATCTTCTCCGACCACAACAACTGTTTACAGAAAACCACAAGGATTTGGTAATTGCAGGAGAAAAATGGATGAAGGACACATCAGGTTCTTGTTCTGTTGTGGGTGCTCTAATTGTTACCATCACATTTGCTGCGGCATTCACAGTTCCTGGTGGTAACGATCAAAATATAGGCTTTCCTATATTCAGGAACAAAAAACTGTTCAAGGTTTTCTTTATATCAGATGCAATCTCACTGTTTTCGTCAACAACATCAGTTTTAATGTTCCTCGGAATCCTCACATCACGTTATGCAGAAGAAGATTTCCTGAAATCCTTGCCAACAAAGATGATAATTGGCCTCTCCACCCTATTTTTCTCAATAGCAACCATGATGATAGCATTTTGTGCTGCAGTTTCCGTTATGCTTCCAGAGACATGGATTGCTCTTCTCGTCTGCTTACTTGCAAGTGTTCCGATTGCCTCATTTGTAAGGATGCAGTTCCATCTGTTAGTTGATATCTTGATGTCTACTTATGGACCGAGTATTTTTAAGAGGAACATTAAACCTTGGTTAGATGGCTGACACCAATAAGGTGAAAATCTTTATATATCTGTGTGTGTGTGATGTATTCTTGGTACTTGGCATTCTGGTGACAGTTCCTGAATTGTCAATTTATCGACAGAATTTGTGTGGATGTGTTTGAAATGCAAATATATATGATTGAATTTTGTTTCTGGATGTATTGAAATACGGTTCTTTTCAAGGTATTTCTTTTATTGATCAACCTTGTCAACTGACATGATTATAATTAGGGAGTTTCTCTAATAGAATCAGAAAAAATGAACTACTGATAGTTCTATACTTTTTAGTCGTTAAATCTGTATCAAAAATTGTCTACTCTACTTACTTTTTCAATCTGAAGTGATTTTAACTAGATTTAAGGGTCATAAAATAAACCCTAGTGGTAGGACGGCTTACAGGAGAGACTCTCTTATAATTTTTAGAAAAAGAAAAAAACATTGTCTTGATTATATATGTCCCAATTTCAACAAGTAGTTAAATTTCTTTATTCAAAGATAGAGAGTACATTGTTGTTCAATTTATTTAAGTCTTGGAAAGAGTAGTTTTTATTAAGTTATAGGTATGATTGCTGATGAGAAATTTAACTATATTTAGAGCATTTTGGTAAAAGAAATGGTAATGTGGTACGTATGTTTTTTTTTTGGACGATAAAAAAAAAAAAAGAAATTGATACCCTATATTTTTAAAACAATCACTTTAATATTTTATGTTTTCATAATATTAAATCATGAAAACAGAATTTAACTACTATTCTGTCGATATATTGGAAACTATTAATAAAAGAAATTATTTTTTTGTGATAAATATTAAATCATGAAAACATGAAATATTAGTTGGCGGGCAACTCGCTTTGAAAAAAAAATGTATCAGTGGCTTATACGTCATGAGAATGTTACAATTCTGAGGATGCAATACTCATTAACGAGCATTCACTTTTTAAAAAAGAGACTATATTTGGTAGGCCGTCTTATTAGTAGGATCAGTTTTGTGATTGTTGAATCTGATAAAAATTAAATAAGATTGATAAAGTATATAGAACAAACAGTTTATGATATAGATCTGACGATTGAAAATGATTAAAAAAAATGAAACTATCAGTAGTTACATTTTTTAGTCCTACGGAAGAAACTCCTTTTAAAAAAGGCAATTTTAATGCTTTAAAGCTGACTTTTTAGAAATTAAACATCCTTTATAATCTTTATCATCTTTTTATTTATTTGGTCTGAGATGAGAAAAAGTTACAAAAAATTCGTTTATTGATATTTGGTATAAGAGTGATACTTTTAATACTAATGAGTGAGGGCAATGCGGGTAATGTAGTTGATTTTGAGCTCTTTCATCTTAATTATAAATTGAGAGTTTGAATCATTCTGAGCCCCGTTTAAAATAGAAAAGACATTTTCATATCCCAAATTTCAGGGTGATCTCAGCTCCCTACTATATCTCCTCCACCCGTCCCCTGCATGCGCAAGATCGCAAGCCATGAAAGGAGATGATAGTTTTTCTAAAGAAAAAAAAAAATTGTTAATCTTTTTAAATTCTTTGAAACCCAAATGACGATATTATCTGACGATGAGAACAATGGTGCCAAATGGAAGTGTGGCAGTAACCTTTGAGCTATAGAAGAACACTCCTCTTTCTATTGAGACCTTATTTGATAAATTGACATACCAGTAAGATCAGTTTATAATTATTAGATCTGATCAAAATTACATAAAATTAAAAATATATATATATATATATATGCAGAATAAATAATTTTTCATATAAATCTAATGACTAAAAAATAAAAAATTATCAATAATTCATTTATTTTTGTCGAACTAGAGAAACTCTCCTTTTTATAATGTCAAATTTATTTCTGTTTTTCATTAGAAAAGGATACAATCTTCAGAGAAACAATGGAGTAGAGTTTTCACCCAATAAAATAAAATGAAAATACTTATCCAATCCAACCTTGGAAAATTGATTGTGGAAAGCTGCCCACCAATCACATTCACAGGTGTAAACAGAATTTACAAGGATAAGAGACGTTTGAAGTGCTCCAGTAATTGTACGGGACAGGACAACAGAAAGAGATGAAATTCAACATTTGGATGGGGTTTTTAGCACAATCTGAACTTGTCTGTGATTTAATAAAATGAAGCATATTATAATAAATTTACAAATTAACACAATTATTGTTAAAATGAAGCATATTATAATAAATTTACAAATTAAGTAGGCAACTTGTTAAAATTAAAAATTCAAGAGATAAATGGCTAAAACTATACAAGTTTAAGAGACAAATGGGTAAAATACCCTTATGGATAATATCACCATTACTCTTCGTAACCTTGTGGACCATATTCCTTCCATCATAATCTCAGATATACTACAGTAACTAATGGTAACTAACATATTATTACCGCCACTCGAAATACAATCAAAGAATTTTCTCCAATCTCCGCAACACAAAACACAACACAAGAGAAAATGATAAGCTCACAGGTCTTGCCCATCGCGCCATCTCCTCCCACAAAACTACGCCTCTCAACTTCACTCCCAGGCACGTTTCACACTCTTTCTCAAAGAACCCACATTCCTTCTCATGTCTACAAGCACCCTGCTGCTATACTTCTTGAGCTTTCCACTTCCTTACAAGAACTCCGCCAAATTCTCCCTCTCATCATCAAAAACGGCCTCTACGGTGAGCTCTTGTTCCAGACCAAGCTTGTTAGTTCGTTCTGTAAATATGGAAGCCTTACTGAGTCTGCTCGTGTTTTTGACTCGGTTGAAGACAAGGTTGATGCTCTTTACCACACCATGCTTAAAGGGTATTGTAAAAATTCATTCTTGGAGGATGCCTTATTGTTTTATTGTCGTATGAAGTATGATGGTGTTGAGCCTGTTGTGTATAATTTCACGTATTTGTTGAAAGTTATTGGAGATAATTCTGACCTTAGGAGGGGCAAGGAGGTCCATGGGCAGCTCATAACATCTGGGTTTGGCTCAAATTTGTTTTCAATGACTTCGGTTGCCAATATATATGCTAAGTGTGGACAGATTCGTGAAGCATATAAGATGTTTGACAGAATGCCTGAAAGAGACTTGGTATCTTGGAACACGATCATTGCGGGTTATGCGCAAAATGGGCAGGCAGAGATTGCGTTGACCTTGATTATTCGAATGCAGGTCGAAGGCCAAAAGCCCGATTCGATCACATTGGTTACCATTCTGCCTGCTGTTGCAGATATTAGGTCTTTGAGGATTGGAAAGTCGACTCACGCTTATGCTATAAGAGCTGGATTTGACTCAAAGGTGAATATTGCAACTGCACTGGTAGATATGTACTCGAAATGCGGTTCTGTAGAGACTGCTCGGTTGATTTTTAATAGGATATCTGAAAAGACTGTTGTCTCGTGGAATTCCATGATTGACGGGTATGTTCAAAATGAAGATCCTGAGGAAGCACTGAAAATCTTTCAAAGGATGTTGGAGGAGGGATTTGAACCAACCAATGTTACAATAATGGAGTCCTTGCATGCTTGTGGTGACTTGGGTGATATTGAGAGGGGTAGGTTCCTTCATACATTAGTTGATCGGTTGAATCTTGCCTCAGATGTTTCGATAATGAATTCTCTCATATCCATGTATTCTAAGTGTAAGAGAGTAGATACTGCTGCCAAGATATTTGAAAATTTGCAAAGTAAAACTCTTGTTTCGTGGAATGCAATGATATTAGGTTATGCCCAAAATGGGTATGTAAATCGAGCCTTGAGCCACTTTTGTGAGATGCGATCCCAGAACATAAAAATGGATACGTTTACCATGGTTAGTGTGATTCCTGCTTTAGCAGAGTTATCAATTACACGCCAGGCTAAGTGGATTCATGGACTTGTTATAAGATCTTGTTTTAATAAAAATGTTTTTGTGATGACTGCTCTTGTCGACATGTATGCAAAATGTGGAGCCATCCACACTGCAAGAAAACTCTTTGACAGGATGAAGGAACGACACGTGACGACATGGAATGCCATGATAGATGGCTATGGAACCCATGGGCTTGGAAAAGATGCCGTGGATCTGTTCTGTGAAATGCAAAAGGGAATTGTCAAGCCCAATGATGTAACATTTCTGTGCGTTATCTCTTCTTGCAGCCACTCAGGTTTGGTTGAAGAAGGGCTCTGGTTCTTTGAAAGCATGACAAATGATTATGGCTTAGAGCCTGCAATGGATCACTATGGAGCCATGGTTGATCTTCTTGGTCGTGCTGGCCAGCTCAATGAGGCTTGGGATTTCATTCAAAAGCTGCCTATCGATCCAGGGATTACAGTCTACGGTGCAATGTTGGGTGCTTGTAGAATCCATAAAAGTATTGAACTAGCAGAAAAGACGGCTATGAGAATATTTGAGTTGAGCCCAAATGATGGTGGCTACCATGTATTGCTTTCTAACATATATGCCACTGCTTCGATGTGGGACAAAGTTGCCCAAGTTCGGAACATGATGGAGAGTAAAGGGCTTAAGAAAACTCCAGGCTGCAGTTTAGTAGATTTAGGAAACGAGTTCCACACTTTCTATTCTGGAAGCACAATCCATCCACAATCCAAACAAATTTATGCCTATCTTGATACTTTGGGAGAAGAGATAAAGGCCGCCGGGTATGTTCCCAACACCAATTCAATACATGATGTGGAAGATGATGTCAAGCAAAAGTTGCTCAATAGCCACAGCGAGAAGTTGGCTATTGCATTTGGACTCTTAAACACCAGCCCTGGCACAACAATACACATAAGGAAGAATCTAAGAGTTTGTGGTGATTGTCACAATGCGACCAAGTATATTTCACTTGTTAGTGGACGGGAAATTATAGTGCGTGACATGCACCGATTTCACCAATTCAAAAACGGGACATGCTCTTGTGGAGATTATTGGTGATGACTATCTCCTGACATGAGTTTTGACACTGGTCTGTTATTGTATATGCGCTACTCTTTTTGGTTGTTAAGGATGAAGCTATAAATGTATACCCAACCACTAGCTTTGTCAATTGATTTGGAAAATTTTCAAAGATTTCATGACTCCCGTTAGGTCATATGTTTGTAGAATGGCAAGTTTTGATGATAAAGAAGGCACCAAACAAATTTTGCATTTGCAAATCAAATTTCAATGAATAAGTTACTTCCTAATATTGGTCAACTTATTCTTGTCTATGGCTAATATTTTATGAAGCTGCAATTCTTGTTTCTGATTATCAAATGCACAAACCCAGTACTGCTCTATTCTACTAAGGTTTCACATTTCTTCTCACTAAGGTGGGGAAAGATGTATGCTCTACAGTTCCACCCATGGACTTGGCCTTTGTAGTACTTTGGTTCCAGATCCAATCAAATGGTGCAAGTTCTATCTATTTTTAGGAATTGTTGGAGAATTAATCGATAGGTTGGTTAATGGTTCAGAAGAATTTGAATCAGGTTTTAAGTGCAACGATGAAAGAATGTGGATATGTGAATTCTTGTTAGTTGTTCCTCCCCAAAACAGACAAATTTAAAATAATTTAAAATATAAAAAAAGAAAAACCATCAAGTGAAACGTTACAACAATGATAGGACACAATTAAAACTTTTGACACTTCGATTTATGGCAAAGGCTGAAACGCAAAGGTTACACCAGCTCTGTCCAAGTTTGGTAAACAATAAGAAAAAGAAAAAGTCCAGTGAAAGGTAAAGGCAACAAAACTTCCCAATCGCCTAATACAAGCTTAATTGAAAAGATGCTGTGATAAAGCTGGAAAATGTCTCTAACAGTTCAACATGCTAGCATTTATATTCATCCACTTGATATCTGTACATACACCTCCAGAATATTATGCCAAAGATGATTTGAATATTGTGTAAAACACCCCACCAAAACAAACTGTCCCGTAATGTCAAAAACTATATACCAAAAGAATCCCAAAATTGGGTATGACACTTCACTTCCACCACCAGAATTGTCGAAACAAATATGTCTTTCTCATTTGTGCATTGTACGTCAAGAAAGCCCTTGCTTTAATAGGGTCCGCGTTCAAATACTCGAATGCATACATCTGCTTAGACTCCTCCAGGCCATCGATCTCCATAACTGCCTGCAAGAGTTCAGAGGGATCAAAAGAGCATTTACTTCGTTCCATTGCATCGGCCAGGCGTCGAATACTAGACGCAACAGCTAACATTGCATCCTGAAGAGCCTCTGAGCTACGAGGGCGTTTTGGTAGCTGTCTTAGAGGGTGGATCAGAGGAGGTTCTTGACTGCCATCTGGCATCTGGCCATACTCTGGCGGTTCAGTTCCAGTATATGACTCTGTTCCATCAGTCTCACTTTGGTCTTCTGAACTAGGAGAAGCAAACGACGCAGAGTCATCTTCACAATTCTTCATCTCTGTTTGAAAGCTTCCATCTTTCAACTTAGCCCACCGGCTAGGGGCTTGATAATTTCCACAGACAATTTTCAGTTCATCATACATCTCGATCTGCTTTCCTCGAAATTGTCTAGCATCAGGATGTGCCTATTGAATAAATTGGCCAACAACATGCATGTTGTAAACAAAAAGTCCACAAATTAAATGGAAAGACAAAAGGCAAACGATCCACTTACCGCAATGTATCTCTTCCAGAGTTCATCGTGTTCGCACTCGATCATTTTTGTATTTGGATTCCACCTAAATCCATCTTGACACAACATATCCTTCATTATCCTATACCTTTTCTTTATCGTCTTAAGACGATTAACAACTTTTTGATTATTCAAGTTCAAGTTAAAACGAGAGTTCACAGCAATACAAGCAGCGGTATATGCATTTTCATTAAAGCATTTGTCGATTTTGTTTCCATTTTTTGCTTGAATAGAAAGGGCTTCAATTAAACATTTGTCCATCGCAATTGACCAGACAACATTCCTTCCTTTGTGCTTTATATCCCTTCTCTGTCCAGGCAGATCATAGTGATCCATTCCTACAGTAGAAAGGCTTAGAGTGAGAATACAATAATGCATCGACCGAGAACAAAAATCAAATGAAACTAGAACACCTTGGACGTGATTTTTTTTTTTTTTTTAATAACAAGAATGCCCAAACCATTCTAAATCTTAGGTTCCATGTTTCTCAAAACACAAGATTATAAAACTCTCAGCAACAACGCAACTCTAAACACCATAGTTAATCAGAAGCTTTTATTTTCAAATTCATTCTCGAGTAAGAGTTATAATATGCATAGATTCACTGCAGAGGTTACGATGGGAAGCCCTTCTAAGATGCACCTCCAAAGTGCAAAAATGATACCCAGTACTAGTAGTTTCAAAAATATTTTTCAGAAAGCAGCCCGCTTTGATCTTTGTTTCTTTCTTGGAAGCACTGGAAACCACAGAGTGGCACTTCCACCTCCTGGAACAACTAGTATCACCCCCCATCGCACATGAATCAAATTTCTATTTGGTGATAGCGGTAGAGTTTTATGTAACAAGTTAATCCATGGGTCACAACAAAAGAAACTTTATTCACATCTTCCATTCAAATTTAAAACAAACAAAAATAAATAAAACAAAGAACAAAAAAAATGCAATTTATTACGTGAATGATTGAAGATTCAAGCAGTCAAACTGCTAATCCATCTAATTGCTTAACACCGTTTTCCAATATTCAAAGTTTGTAACTTTTTGAGAAAATGTAAATATTAACTATGTGAGTTCCGTACTTCAACACAGTATTATCCATTTGCCAAGCAAAAGCTTCAAAAAAAGTTTCATTGTGCTACCCGTTTTTACATTTTCTACATTTTCTTTTATTGTCAAAAACTGTGGCAATGAAGTTTGAGAATCATTATTAACACTCGAAAAAAAAAAAAATTGTAGTTCATAGCCATGTTGAATCCCGAATGTGCTTAATTTTTGCTATCATTCTGGGAAAAACAATCAAAAGTCATATAGATACAACCACACAACGAAATATATCACAGAAGAAGTTTGTCAGTCAGGACAAGAGAAAACACTCAACCATAGTGACTATTTGGCATGACTCCTAATGAATTTGTCCCCACATTTACCAGTCCCACACAAAAACTAATATGTTTTCGAGTCTCTTGTGAAACAAACAGCTATTCCAAACCTAGCCCTACAACGACTAGAAGAAATATGAATCTAGAGAAAAAGAGATACCTTGGTCCACGAAGATAATTTTAGTAGTGAAGTACACAGCTCTGATCAATTAGATCGACAATCCAACAGCACCTGGCGTTGAAAGATGCAGCAACAGCCTTAAAAGAAGGAATGAGACACTGTGGAACACTTCATTACAAGCTTTTCTCGAGAATAAGTAGCAAAATTATCCCACGTGCACTCTCTTAAAAAAAAAACAATGCTTACATGAGAAACAATACATTTACAAATAGCAGAAGTCAGAAAGTAAAGATCAAATGAAGACGGCCATTAGAAATGCCACGGTAATAGAGGTAATAAGTGCCTCAAAATTTCCCTACTCAACATCTGCTCCTTATTCATAATATATTAAGCAAATATTCGTGTAAAATACATCTTGAAGTTGCAATAATGTCCAGATTTAAGCTACAAATCTATGCAACTGATACTTGTACACAATGGCTAAAAATTTCATTGGGAGTATGGTAATTTGATGTTTGTCCGGCAGAATTTATCCATTCAATTCAATGTTTTCCTTCCTCGAACAGGGAGGGAGGGAGGATGGGCAACAACTGCCGGCGGTGTCAGTGTCACCCCACATTTGAATTCAGCAATCATAATCTGTCTAAAATAAATTTTGCTTAAAAAAAATGGTGAGAAACAAACTTTACAAAGAAGGAAAAGAGAACAAGAGGAAAATGAGAGAAGTCCTCAACGAAAAGGCGAGAAATGGAAAGACACTTGGTAGATAGATTTAACTCAACCTAATAGAATTTAAGAGGTAAATTCCATTCTTCTTGTTAAGGGCGCAAGGAGTTCATGCCTTTGATTTTTTTTTTTTTAAGGTATATAGCTTTCCAGAATATATTATATATGCCCCCTCATTGACAGAATTTTTTAAATAAGCCATTAAACCTACCAAGGAAAAAAAGAAAGAAAAAAAGAAAAGAAAAACACTAATTCAACGTAAACTAAATGCATGACTCTAATCATTAACCAACTGCATCAACAAATAGGACTGTATATTAACCAGCGTAATTATATATATATATATATATCTGACCCAGCAACAACAACTTTAACCAACTACCAAATCAAATAATAGGCCATAAGCCTCTTCAATAAGGCACCTGATACATGTAGATAACATACGCAATCAAGCACAAAACAAGTCCTTTCAGTCTCAATTACCATTAAAAAGTAACTGATCACCTTTTTTTTTCTCTCAATCAAAAAATGCAGAGTCCAAACTATTCCAACTCAATTCCTTAGAAGCTAACACCTCAGGTCCAGTGCTTCCATTTGTCTCTTCATATCTACTGAAAGTTAAAGCTCCTCCGTCTATTCATTCCAGTCCCAGCCCCTCCTATTTTCTTTCGCTTGTCTCTTTCTCACTTAAAAGGCTGCCCATTCATCAAAGATAAACCATATATCCCCTTGTATTCTCTAGTCCTCTAAAAGATGGCTAGACATCAAAAGTAATGATGAACTCATTTCTCAAGCATTTTGGGAGTGCTAAATATTCTAAAAAATTATTTGTGTTTTATATATAACTAAAAATTATTACCTGGAATCATAAAGCAAACTATTTCAAGTTTAAGACCTCAACCCACATATGCAGAACACATTTCAACAGGTTGTAGCAGAAGTCACAATCGATCATCAATGCAATTCTTTCAAGAAGCAACAAACAAAAAAGAAAGACCATAAATGTGTTTTCACGCTCAAGATAAAGTTTCAGCTCATAACTAAAGCATAAACGAGTGTCCGAAAATGAAACTTCACTTCCATGTCGAGTCAAAATCACCAAACCAACTTCTCAAATCAACTGAAAAGGAACAACCACAAGCTAAAATACTGATTTCATCATGACAACACAGGGAAATCTGAAACTCCAAGCTTATGCTTAAAAGTTAAACTTGCCTCTCTCTTTCTTGTTCTTTTTTTTTTTTGAAACTGAAAATCAGTACAATAAAACAGAACAACCCTTAAAACTGTTACTAACTCAAACTAAATATTTAAAATTAAAAATAAATAAAACCCAAACTAAATATTCAAATCTTAAAATAAAAAATCCTTTTTAGGGGCTCCCACAAGTCAAAAACATTTTTGCAAGCTGGGTCGTAGATCCTTGAATAGTCATACTTATCTCAAATTCCACACATGTTCATAAATATCCAAAATGTCAACCTTAAGTTTTATAAGCTACTCCAGTACCCAGAGTTTTCAAAAGTTCGCAAACCAACCTGCCTCGATTAATATTGTAACATTTACCAATCATTCTCACTTCGAAATTCACGTGATATATCTGAACAAAATGCACAAAAATTTCAAGTAAAAAACTCTAATACAAACCTCGAGCTATAAATTTTATATTGGCTCAAAGAAAAGGCTAAATCTCACTAGTTTTCGCATTCCATGGCTACCAAAATTCCAGTCAAAGAACAAGAAACCCCAAATTTGAAATCCTAAATAAGTAGTTCCGGAAGAGAAATTAGGGTTTGAGGAGAAGTTTATTACCTCAGGAAAGCGATTGATTTAGGTCTTTTCCGTGAGAAATGAGAAGTTGAAATGTGTTTTAGCCCACTTCTGAGTTGTCTTCAACCTTCCTTTCTCTTTACCTTTATTTTGTGTTTCTTTTTTCTCCATTTTGGGGAATGTCGCAGAACGGAGGCTGTCAATTGGGTAGTTTACATCCAAAAACAACCCACCAAACTTTTCTAAACTTATGAATCTACCCCTGTTCCACTAGAATTTATTATCTAGAACCCCTTTGGTGCGTGTGTGCGAGTGTTTATTTGGAGCTAATCCCACGAATCATCTTTAAGGATGCGTTTGGTTTGATGAAATGACAATTCTTAATTCAGTTATTTTTATATTTGGTTGGATAAAAAAACTTACACAATTACACTCTGTTTGGTAGGAGTGAGAGAAAAGAGAATGAAAAGAAAATATATATAAAAAAAAATGTGAATGAAAAGAAAAGTTAATTTTACTTTTATATTGTTTGGTATGATGGGAGAAAAAAAATATATAATTGACTAAATGATTATTTTATCAATTATTTAATTTTAATTTAGCTTTAAAATAAGGGGTAAAAAAGTTATTTTAGTCATCAATAGATGGATTTAAATTTTCTACTAAATATTAAAAAGATAAAAATTAGTGGGCCCACAACAACTTTTATCCACCATATTTTCCTCTATTCTCTCTTCCTTTCTACCAAACGACTCACTTTATCGTTTTTAACCTAATAATTCGTCCGCCTAATTTCTTCTTTTCACATTTCCATTGTGTCAAACATAGCATTAGAAATGACTATTCTTATAGAATTGCCATTCCATCAAGCAGTTGAATAACAATTTCTAAACTGAACTAGTTGAATGATCATTTTATTTCAAAACTAATATTAATTAAAAATCTCTTATAGTGACTAACAAAATCCCATAATTTTAATAATGTAATTCATGTATTTAAGTCAAGGATTTTCTTGGAAAATCATTATACTATGTACATTTTGTGATTGAAGGATTTATGGAATTAACATCTGCATTCCTAAATTCTGTAGCAGATTTTAAGTTCACGTTTTTTCCGATCAAGTAAATTCGATCGATAAATTCTCACCGTACTTTAAAACAGAAGAATTTTCAGTACAGATACAGTTTGAGAATCTTAATTTTAAGAATCTCCAAGCACAGTACAAACTAGCATCCAATACCAGTATACATGAGAAAATAACTGTCAGTATAATTTTAGACAGTTTTAATGAGTAAATTTAGAACGTAAACAAAGGTACAAGGGTTAAGTTTCATTTTTCTCTCTCCTTCCCTCACTTGGCCGGCCAAACTTAAGGGATTATAGCCAAAAAAATTTGGCTAGTGAAGTGTGCTACATGGACTTCATGATGGGATTGAGTCAAATCAACTATTGGACATGAAATGCTTACACCATTCCCTCTTGAAGCACTCCACCGGCCAGCCACAATAAAGGGGGGGATTAATCTAAAAATCTAGCCAATTAAGCTAGTTTGATAGGCTTAAATGAGAACTAAGAGGAGATCAAGTAATGTCTATAAAGGGAGACCATTAGTGCAAGCATTAGGTTAGCCATTTTTGCACATCTCCTCTCATTTTCCTCACACCCAAACCGGCCACACTCCTCCATTTTTCTCTCAAATATTTTCTCCTACTCTCCCAATCTTGAGCCACTAGCAAACCATAGAAGAAGAAGAAGGAGATCAAAGGGTCTAGGAGGAGTCTAGACAAGCATTTTTCCAAGGGTATAACTCTAAATCCTCTTTTTTTTTTCATGTTTTAGTAAAGTTTGAAATGTAGAAATATTCCTCTTAAATTTTCTTATACTTTATAGTTCCAAGCCAATAACAAATCTTAGAGGAGTTCAAGGTTTTCAAGGGAGAGAGATAGTTCTTCAAGGGTAAGTTCTCAAACTCTTCTCCATTAATTTCTAGCCAACTTTAAGCTTGGATTTGTGGATGTAAATTTGTGGTTCTTGAGGAGATGAGTTGTAATAAGGGTGTGTGAGTTTGATATTAGTTTTGTGAGTTTTGGGGTTAGTTTGATGTGGTATGTTTATGCTTGACCTAAGTTGCTTATTTTCGGATTAGAGGAAAAACTTTCTGGTGACTTTGACTGCGAAAATGAGGACCATAAAACGAGATTTTTCAATGTTTTAAAGCTTGAACTTATAGCCCTGGATGTTTTGAACATTTTCGGTTACTATGACAAAACCTAATTTTAACTCTAAAACTAAGTTTGAAGCCATTTTGCAAAAACGGACAAGCTGTCCAACACAGTTTCGAAAAAAAAAATTAGCAGCCACTGGTTCAGTCAAACGGGACACTTGGAGGCTGAATCTCAATTTTTCACTAAAGTGACAATTTTATATTTCGACGAGACGAAGAAATTTTATGAAGAAAATATTTTCAAAATCCGACCCTAAGAGATACTAAAACACAGATTCCCGAAATGGTACAGTTTTTGACTAAAACAGTTTCAAGAAAAACAACAGCTACGGTTTTCAGCCAAAAGAGACCTTTAGAGGCTGAATTTCAACTTTCACTAAAAACAATAATTTTAGATCTCGACGAGACGAGAAATTTTCATGAAGAACAAAATTTTGAAATCCGACTCTATGATATAGTAAAACGCAGATTTCAGAAACTGCACAGTTTTTAACGAGACAAAACTAAAACAGTGTCGGTTTCAACAAAAAGTTATAAAAGAACCCAAGATAGAATTTCAGTGAAATACAATGACATTAAACCTCATTTTAATAAAAGTATTCATAAAGGAAGTTTTCAAGAAAAAATGCTTTCTTTAAAGAACATAGTGGTTTACCGAGCGAATTATCCCGACGGGCACCTACGAGCTCAATACGATAGGTCCGTAGAATTTTAAAGATTTAATGTGAGTCCAACGCCCACATTAGTTTAAGAGACTCTGTTAGAGTATAAATTTCAGCGGCGTAAAAGTTAGAATGCCATGTATAAGTCCTAGGCCGAATTGGGCCTTAATATCATACCAAGGGAAATTAAGGAAAATGAGATTATGAGGATTTAATAAATTAATCTTTATTATCCTTTAGTAAAGGAAAGGAATATATGTCTTATGGAAAGGGTTAGATTTTCCTTCATAAGTTGCTAAAATAGAATAACAAATAACAGTTAATCTCACACTATTAATGGGTGTTCATTTTCAGAAGAAAGCAAGAGACTAAGCTGATAGGCGAAAAGGGGATCCTAGCTTTGAAAATCAAGTAAGTAGGAATCTCGCCTACAGTATAAATAGATTTTAAAGTAAACAGTACACATGAACTATATATGTTTGAGTACATTTAATGTTATGAATGCTATGCTATGTTATACTACATACACTTAAGCAGTACACCCGAATTATATGTGTTCGAGTACATGATATACTATGCTATGCTAGGTCATATTGTATACACCTTAATAAGTCAAGAGGAACTTATAAGAGTAATCTCAATTGAGTGTCGTACCAGCCTCCACAAGGGAGGTAACTCAAGCTCCACAAGGGAGAAAATAATAATAATAATAATGTCCTCCGACTCAAGGGAGGCATTCAAGTTATAATCACGGTGTCATGGGAGACCTTGTAAACCCTCACGTCTCGATGATTGCGCGCAAGTGGTACGAGCACTCAGACCCAAAAGAAAGATAAGATAAGATAATAAAATTCTGATAAGACATCATAATTAAGCATAATTGGCTAATGCATATTTATTCATGTGAACTTACAGTTATTTTACGGGAGATAGTTCCTACTTGTTAAGCGAAAGCTCATTATAGAATGTTTATACTGTAAGTAAGTAACCGGCATATAATGCCTGATGGACTGCCGGCGAGTGGACGAACGATGTGGGGCTCGGGATATGGATATCGCTCGCAAATATTTCCGCAATCAGCTTTATATTATAAATAGTTTTGTTAATTATGATTCTGAAACAGATATGTTAAGGTTTGAATATTTTAATTAAGAAAGAAATTTCGTATCTTATGTTTATTATAAGACCTTTTAAAAAAAAAAAAAATTGTTCCGTAATTTTTAAGAAATTTCAGTAAGTACAAGTTAAAAAGTTAGTTACAGTGACGGCCTTAAAAGAGGGTCGTCACATCTCTCTCCTCAAATTATTGGGATTTTATAAAATTTACTTTATGTATTCTTTTCACCATCCAAATATTAATGATAAGATGAAGGGGTATTTTAGTAATTCACTAAACATGATAATGTGATTCTAATGTGAGTCAAACAATAAAATTTAAATAAATCATTAATTTATTTATATTCTCATTCTATTATATTTATATTCTTATTTCATTATATCAACCCAACCGTTTCCTGATAGTTTAATGTTTCATTAAAACTACACAAATTTTTTTTATCTCAAATATTTTATGTTAGAACCTCCTACTTTTCAGAAAAATTTTAAAAATGTCTCTCCGTTAGTTAACCGTGATAAAAAAAGGTTATAAAGGTGACTTAATATCATGTTAATATTAAGACAATAAACGATTTTTAAAAGACGTTCCTGAGTACCATGAGATTGTTTTTTCAAACATAAAACATAAACTGTTTGGTTCTAATTTGATAATCGATTTTTTGTGTTTCACGAAGTAATTGATTTGGAAACGGTTTCTAAATTGTATTTGGGTCCCTTTATCCTTAAACTTTTCGTTGCTTTCAATTTTTTTTTTTTTTTTTTTGCTGAATTTTTGCTTTCATTTTTTACAGCTTTTATATAATCAATATATAAACATGCCGCCCCTTAAATTTTGATATTTTTTACAGCTTTATCTTTAGTTTCAAATCAACCAACCTCCAAAGACATATGCGAAATGTTTTTTTGGCTGAATTTTTGCATTCATTTTTTTGACAGTTTTATTTTCTCGCTTTCTTACTAGCATCTATTTTTTAAAATAATAATAATAATAATAATAATAATAATAATAATAATAATAAAGTTCATTGTCACCGACAAACTAGTCTAGCAACATCCAATAAACCCGTTAAAATAATAAGTTAATAACCAACGACTATAATTTATTACTCTCTACGAAATTCAACATTTGGAGACCAATCTTAAAAAATAAATTCAAGT